TGATTTCACAAAATTGATCAGAACACCATACATCCTCCATTATAATATGGAGGTACCTCATGAGATTTTCTCCATTCTTAATTCTATGCGTTCTCCTTAATCGTAGCTAGGGTTTAATAGTAAATTTCATCTTACTTTTTATAAGTAAAAAAAACAAATATGTTTGCCTGCAAGATTTGGACCTTGGTCATTTTAAACAAAGACAAGGTCATAATCAATCACACTACATTGATTAGTATCTTTTTCCATTAAAAACGTACATGAAGGTAAACCAAAAGGCACGGACTTCTCAATGGTTAGCTAGCAAGTAATATTCCGATAAGTACTTATTGATGATCGATACTTCAATTTTTATATTGTGATTAATTTAATATTTCATTTAAATATGCATAATTCTTATATATATTAATGTTTAGGACTACTATGAAGCAATCATATTTGTATTTTTGTGCAATCTATATGAGACTAGTCTTTTGAACGATTTAGCTCGGCTAACACAAAGTTTTAAACCCCTTTCTAATCCGACATGATTGGATCCAACAATCATTAGACGAGATTAAGTTTAATATGTTGGTCATTTTACCCTTTTTATGTGTTAATGATTATGTTAGATAAAGATATGTCTACATATACACTCTATACAATATAATATTGGAATGTGAAAATTATTGCCTCATTTCAGATTTTCTATAGAGAGAGTGAATTATTTAAGATATTTTTGTCTTCACAATTATTTATCTTTATTATTTAGAAAAAATAGAAATTTTGGGATTTGAACCAATGTATCTTCAAACAAAGACAAGCTCATAACCATGATTGTCAACCCGAGTTTGACTCAGCCTCGAACCAATTATTAACAAAATCGACTCGAGTATCACACTGAGCGCGAAAGATCCAATCAGTTATCTACTGGGCTCGGCCAAACCCTGAAAAACCCAATAAAATCGAGAATTTAGCCGATTCACCAACTGATCCAAGCACCTAGCACTTCAAAATGATGTCGTTTTGAACAAATCATATTCGTAGCTTCATTGTCGTGGCATCCATTTTCTTATCACAAATCCTACAGCAACAAACATAAAGATAATCACATGTTCGACTATCTCACTGTCTCTTCTTCCTTTAGGTTCGACAGAAGCCAATACAAGGCTCAACCATCTCATAAATCATATCAATCCATCAGTAGTCAATTTTGTTTGCGTTCCAGCAACACAATAATAGCGTCATTGACCTCATCTCATACAAAGAAGAAGCAAAAAAGTTTAGAGGAACATGCATTGGGTTGAGACTTTGTGTGACTAACAAATGCCAAGTTCATCATTTGTGTATGAGCTTAAAATTTAATTGGATAAAAAGATTAAAAATATTTAGAATTAATATGAGATCAGAAATATGAAGAACGAAATTAAGAATATTAGATAAGTAAAAGAAAAGGGAAAATAAAAAGAAAAAGAAAGAGGGAAAGATTTCATAATTAAAATTCAATCTTATTTCTAAAAGAGAAAGAAGTAAAACAATATCAATAAATGCAATTCAACTCTAATGAATGAATAATATTAAACCATCATTGGACCTAAATTTACCGTTAAAAATCGGCTTAATTGCAAGTTTGGTCACTCGAATTGTTACAAATTTCACGTTTGCCACTCAATTAATTTATTCCATTTATAGTCACTTAAATTAGGTTAACAGTCCAAGTTTGGTCTATATTCCATCACTCAATATTGGATGGCAGTCTTTGGTTACAACAGCATGTCCTAGCTAACATTCGAAAGATATGCTCGACTTCCTTTGGCGTGGTTAGGGGACTGGAAGAACAAAGTCTGTTGGGATGTGATTTTTTTCTAGAAGGAGGGAGGTTTGGGGTTAAGAGATCCGAAAACATGGAATATTGTTTGTATTGGCATAATTTTGTGGATGTTTTTCCTTTGTGGAGGATCATTCTGGTTGCTTGTGGTTGAGAAGCATAGATTGGAGGAAGATCATTTGTTGGTTCCGGAAACAAGCACAGGATCTTGGATATGAGGAAACTCTTGTAGCTTAGACCTTGGTTACGCTATCGACTACTTAAAGAAGGGGATGAAGTCATATGGGAAGGGAATATTTGAAGGCTTATTCATTATAACAATCTGGGGATACCATTAGGCCACGAGGTCAGAGGGTGAACTGGTATGCTTTATTTATGAAGAAACTTGTTATACCTGGACATAGATTCTTGGCTTGGCTAATTATCCACAACAAAATCAAAACCAGAAACCAATTGAAGGAGTGGGGGTTATAGACTCTGTGATATGATCCCAATTGGATCAATCCATAATTCACAATTGCTTTCCAAAGAAGTCATCTCAACTCACTTGAAGAATTCTGATTTTTGGCTAAGTGTTGAAACAGTTTCAGGTAGCCTACTTTGGAAGTATTTATCTCACAAATGGCTCAGTCAAAATTGGAGAACAAGAGCTTGTTTTGAAGATAATGTTACTATGATTACATTGGTATGTTTTGGAGCTCAAGGGGATGTCTGGAAGGTCACTTGCAAAGCCCATAAAACAGCTACCTCAAAACAGGAAAACTGCCTAAATTTGGCTAAGGCAGAAAACTGTTTCGAGATACCAACTTTGAAGGCCTATATCTGGAGTTTGGAGCATGATCTCAGGCTGATTCAAGTTGGAGGTGAAATAGAAAGTTTTCTTCTACAAAGGAAAGGAATTGGTTGAATTCAAATCAACCTAGAAGACCATTTTCGAAGGGCTCAAAGATGCTATGAAGCCTGTTTTCCTAGGCAGACTTGCTTGCGTTTTAAGTTAGTTTCTTGGCCAGCAAGTTACCTTGTTTTACACGAATTATTTAGCCTTTTTCTGTTCTAATTTGTTTCCTTGTTAGTTTAGAATTGCATTAGGTTTTCTTGGCTTTAAATAGCCCTCAAATTACGTTGTAAAAAGAAGAATTTGATTAATCGAATTGAGAACCTTTTGGTTTTGTGCAAGTTGCGACTTGTGTTGAGTTTGGTGGATTCCAAGCTCGTGAGCTCTTGTATCGATTGAATAGTCACTTCAATCGTGGTCGGGCATCTACTTTTTATACCAATCGAGCGTTCCCCAAGTGTGGAATCGTCCTTTTGGTTCCGTTTTATCCAAGTTCGTATTAAGAACGCGTTGTTCTTGATTCGAGCTCAATCGATTCTTCGATTGAGTCGTTTGCTGCGTTACTTTGATAAACATACACCCCCAGGGGCGTATCACTCTGACCAGTGTTTACTTTGTCAGGCAGTGCTAGAAATGAGGAACCACCTGTTAGAGTTAGTCAATAGAGTTGTAATAGGAAATTTATGCGAGAAGTAAAGTATAAAGATGGAGTCTTTTGGCAGTTTAATTAATTAATTTTTACATTAATTCATTAACGTTTGAATATTGTGAAAGGATGTGTCCTTTCGGGAAAGGTAACTACCTTTTTTCTATGAAAGGATGTGTCCTTTCGGGAAAGGTAACTACCTTTTTTCTATGATAGGATGTGTCCTTTCGGGAAATGTAACTACCTTTTATGTGAAAGGATGTCTCTTCGGAAGGTAACTTCCAGTTTCACAACTATAAATAGATGACTGCCATAACTCTTTTAAAGACGAGAGATTACTTCTTCTTCCGTTTCCCTTCTCTATTTCATAACCACAGAAGTCTGCAAGATTGCTGCTTCCAGACTTAGAATTGAAGGGACTCCTGGGGGTGGTTTGCTCGAGCCTACCAGCAATTTGTAGTGGGGGCAAATAACACTCTAAGGAGAGTGATTAATCACGCCTTCAATCTGATTCTCTCCATACCGTTTCCCTGACAATCTTAGAGTGTTATTTTCTTGAAAAATGGATTTTGGAGTGGAGAGTAAATTGAAGGCTTATGCTATTCACAAATGGATTTCGAATCATAGATACGTGCTGTGTGGTATTCAATATCATATCAGTTATCATTGTCCTTTACTATGGTTGGTTCCGAAGAGGAGAAGAGGAAATGTGGCACTCGAGTCTCGACGGTCATTGGGAAAGGTAAGACTCTTGCCCCTGTTTCTTTTGTTACCATTCGTAATTGGTCAATTTAATTACCATGCAAATGTTTCTGGAAAGCAACTGTCATCATGCAATGCAATTTGTGCCTTTCATGCATGGATAAAGTGCTTTAATTTTATCGTGTGTTTCTGTGGGGGAATGAAAATATATATATAGTGGTTGTCTCTCATTTTAAGATTTATACTCGGATTTGGTTCTCCAAATGAAATATATGAGTATAACAATTTAATTGTATGATTACGTTCATACATGTTACTGTCAAGAGTTGATAAAGCAAACTAAATATTATATATAAAGGTTGGCAGGTTGCTGTATATACATATTTTTCTTCTCACTACAAATTTTATAAGCATAGGGGACAAACATAGGGGACAATCATTTTATTTCATCTCTAATTATACTATATTAATTGATTTTAGCGACACACGTATAAAATTGTCTCCGAAAATCAAGAATTAAATATTCAATTGATTTGGGATTTGTTAAGTTGTCCCCAATGGACTCCAACGGTAAATTAAATGTCTAAGCTTAGCTAAAATAGAAAAAGAAAAGTTTGACCCGTTGAGAATCCGCGTCATCTATACGGATTTTCTTGTTATTGATTTTTTTTGGACCGAATTATCCCAAAATTAGGTAAATAAATATAGATCCTTCAAAACTAACAACTATTATTTATAGTTTTTTCAGGAGAAGGTAACACGAATCAATGACTTAAGAGTTATTCCCTTTTTTGTTTATCTAACAATCGCAGATCACTTACTGCGGCCTCATCTTCACTAAATAATCTCCCATCCGATCTGAACCATTTATTCCCTTAATCAAAATCCTTGCCGCCCATTCAAGTATAACTTACAAAACCCTACTTCTATTCCAATATTCCATTTCAGTCTGCCCAACGGCCTCCTCTTTCTTCCTTCCTTTCTCTTCTCAATATTTTTCACGATCAATCCCTCTCCCTTCTTCACATATCGTTTTCCTTCTCTTCTTCACACTCCAAGTTGGCTTCTCTTTCTCATATCGAGTAGTCGTTAGTGTTCCCTTCCTTTGAGCCAACCAGGTACAGATTCAAATATTCGTTAAGGTTTATTTGGATTTTAATTTAGTATATTATAAGTTCTTTTGTACAAGTTGGTGAATTTGTTGTTTAGTATGTGTTAAATCTGTCTTTTTTCATGTTCTGATTCATTCTTGGTTTATCTCCCGAACTAGTCATTGGTGATGGCGGTGATTAGGCACAACACAAGAAAATGAATTCGGGGAGCAAGTGAAGCAATGATGGTTAGCCACCGGAGGTCTACCAGTCTTGTTAGCTAGTTGTCGTAGTTGTGTTTCTATTTGTCAAATTTGTGATTCTTTGTAATTATGTGTATAGTTTATGTACTTCCCATATTGTACTTTATCTATGTAAGAGTACATTTTTTAATCTAGAAACGAATGACAGTTGAGATACTACCTCCGTCTTTCAATAAAAAAATCACAAGCTACATCGACTTGTTGTATCCCGAAAGTAGTTCTCAAGAGACAACTAACTGTCTCGAAAAAATACATAAATAATGGCTTGTTGTTTCGAAAGAAAGTTATTCAGGAATGATTTGTCGTCTCGAAAATATTGCATTAGGGATGACCAAGTGTCCTCAAAGATTGTTTTTGGCAACACATAATGTCTCGAAAACCCTTCATAGGGGGCGATTTGTTGTCTCCGTAAATACTTCATAGGAGACTACTTACTGTCTTTAACACAGTTCATACGAGATGACGTGTGGTCTCCAAAAACACTACATGGGGGACGACATGTTGTCCTAAAATCATATTTAAATGATAATAAATTAATTAAAATTTTCAAATTTTTGGAGACGGCTATGTGTCCCTAATATTAGAGACGACTTTCATTTTTTGTTCCCAAAATAATAGAGGACGGAACCTATAGGCACCACCCACGGGGACGACAATTTTCGTCTCCAAAAGATTTGGAGACGAATAACCCATGTTTTGGAGACGACATTTTTTGTCTCCAAAACTCACAAGTTTTGTAGTGTCTGTTTCTACGATTGAAGCAAAGAAAGAGAGAATGGCATGATTAATTAACCAAGGCAATGTAACGTGTGATGATGGTATATTAAGCCTTGTTAATTAGTTCAATGTTTGAATGCAACGTCTGCTTTTGAATCACTGTGCATGGTAATTGGTGTTTCCGTGTTTACGATGTAACATGGTTTGGCACAGATGAAGATTGATTGAGAATCAATTTGGTGATCGGATAACCGCTTTGGTTTGGTTAAGTGATATCAAATACTTTTGTAGTATACTAGTATTTGAGATGAGTACAAACTCATAATTCATATTATGATAAGAGTTTAGAGAAATTCAAATATGTTTGAATTTGGAGGAATTCACGTTGAATTTTTTAAACAAATTTTGTCACCAAAATTTGTATGAGTTTCAATTACGGTGCTTGCAAGATACTACAATTTGGTTTATGTAACAAAATTGTTTAATTTGTGATCTTGAAGTAAATTGAAATAATGGTGAAAAGCGTTTCCCCCGGCATAGTAATTTGTTTATCATGTATTGGTTTATGACTTCATGTTTCATAGCCATGAGGGCAAGGAAAATGAAACTAAGATGGATCCTTATAGGGATTGAAAAAGCTTGCCAAAGGATGGTGATCATCAAAATAATCATTGCCAGAATTGTTTATGGTATATGTACACTATACTATTGGAAAACAATTTGGCATGAGAGCTCAATTGAGATGGTCGTATTAAACTTAAAGTCTGAATTACTTATGGTATATTTATGAAGTGCATACCATTGGTAAGTAATTAGACCATTGATTTAGAATATTCATTTGAATTGCTTGTGGTATGTTAAGTTACCTTGATTATTGTCATTGGTAAGTAATTAGATGGTATTTCCAATACAATCTGGAAATGCAACTGAATTACTTGTGGCATCTCAAGTTACATTGACTAATTCCATTGGTAAGTAATTAGATAATTTTCTAATAATATCTGAATTGTTTGTGGTATGCTAACTTGATAAGTCCATACCATTGGTAAACAATTAGATCAATGTAGCCGTTGAAAGTTCAATAAGTAATGGAAAATGTTCCATGATAGTTTGGCAAATGGGAGAATTGTGGGGGAGATGTTTCTCATGATAGTTGGATAACAAGTGCTAGTGATAATAAATCTACAATGGGTAGATTTTTATACTATGTGGTGAAGTTGTTTCTTGGGTTTCGAAGAAACAAAATGTGTATTACACTCCACCACGGAAGATGAATTTCTAGTCCTTGCGACGGCTGGAAAAGAGGCAGAATGGCTAAGAGACATGTTGTTAAGTACAGAGTTGTGGCCACAACCGATGCCAGCCATTTCTGTCTTTTGTGATAGTGAGGCTACTTTGTCGAGAGCTTATAACAGATTTACAATTGTAAGTCTAGAGCTACTAGCCTATGACATGAACACGTTAGATATTTGATTACTAATGTAATAATTTCTATTGTGTATGTAAGGTCGCTCAATAATGTGGCAAATCCTCTTATCAAAGGATTGCCAAGAGGCATGATCTATGAGACATCCTAAGGGAAGGGATTGAGACCTCTTGTGTAGTTAGAAGTAACGGGAACCCAACCTTTTCTTTAGGTATTCACTAATTAAAAGGTTCAATGTGGTAATAACAAGTTACTCTAACAGAGGCACTAATTTATTGTACAAGTAAATTAGTCCAAAGAAGGGTGAGTTATAGAACTCTTGAGATGAGTTATAGAACTCTTAATGAATTCATTTGGAATGTCACCTATGTGAGCATTTAGAGTGGTGCCGCTCTAAAAAACGTAGAGGTCAACTTTTGTGTATGCTCATGAAACAGGATTAGCACATGGCCATAATAGTGCTACCCTAGTTGGTGGTTGTGGTTTAGAGAAGAGACAAGTATGTGTGTGGCATCTCCGGTTATAGCTTTGGATCGTGACTCCTAGGCTTAAGCCCGTCACTGATTCGTTATGAACTTTGAGTTGCTTACACTAGGTAAAGGTTCAAATGGAAAAGATACCTTTATGTATGCGTTACTTGTTCGATGCAGGTATTCTCAACTCTTGTTGACTAAGTGGGGGATTGTTAGAGTTAGTCAATAGAGTTGTAATAGGAAATTTATGGGAGAAGTAAAGTATAAAGATGGAGTCTTTTGGCAGTTTAATAAATTAATTAATTTTTATATTAATTCATTAACGTTTGAATATTGTGAAAGGATGTGTCCTTTCGGGAAAGGTAACTACCTTTTTTCTATGAAAGGATGTGTCCTTTCGGGAAAGGTAACTACCTTTTTTCTATGAAAGGATGTGTCCTTTCGGGAAATGTAACTACCTTTTATGTGAAAGGATGTCTCTTCGGAAGGTAACTTCCAGTTTCACAACTATAAATAGATGACTGCCATAACTCTTTTAAAGACGAGAGATTACTTCTTCTTCCGTTTTCCTTCTCTATTTCATAACCACAGAAGTCTGCAAGATTGCTGCTTCCAGACTTAGAATTGAAGGGACTCCTGGGGGTGGTTTGCTCGAGCCTACCAGCAATTTGTAGTGGGGGCAAATAACACTCTAAGGAGAGTGATTAATCACGCCTTCAATCTGATTCTCTCCATACCGTTTCCCTGACACCACCTCTTTTGTGAATGTCGAATATGTTACTGGATTACTAGATGCTATGTTTCCAAATGTAGTGTGGGCTACGGATTGGGAGAGAATGTTGGAGCAATTTTGCAAACTTGTGGCTGAAGGGGATAAGCGTGCAGGGGTATTTTGTTGTTGGTTTGTAGCCTCTGTATGGGAGGAGCGTTGTGCAAGGGTATTTATTGCTGTCGAAAAAAGCAAGGATGAATTGAAGCAGCAAATTCAAAAGGAGGTTCGATTCTATAGTGACGGAAATGTTGAGTTTGCCCAACTGTTAAGTAGTTAAATGTTCTTTCATTCTTTGTAATTTGGGAGATGTGGATTAGTAGTAGAGATGATTAGTCGATCTGATTTGTAAATAGAAGTAGGAGAGTTGTATTTGCAGATTTGCAGTTTGTTTTCGAGAAGCTTGGTCGCCAAGTAGAGCTAATAAAATGAGATAACAATTATTGGGGGAAAATAGATTTCGTGCTTATAAAATTCACTTCATCTGCTTATAAAAAATAGATATGCATGATGCATCCATCTTTTCCTGTGACAAATTATTTTACTATTGGAATTATAGTTTAAAAAATTTAATTGTACCAGCTGGTACGATCAAAAATTATCGGATATGGACTTTATATTATAGACAATTTTAGCATTCAAAATGGTTATAACACAGTTCAACCACAATTTTAGTACAAAATACCCTACTAATTTGATTAATTCTTATTACGATTTCACAAACATTGATCAAAACACATACATCCTCCATTATAATATGGAGGTACCTCATGAGATTTTCTCCATTTTGAATTCTATGCGTTCTCCTTAATCGTAGCTAGGGTTATAATAGTAAATGTCATCTTACTTTTTAATAAGTAAAAAAAAAACAAATATGTTGCCTGCAAGATTTGGACCTTGGTCATTTTAAACAAAGACAAGGGTCATAATCAATCACACTACATTGATTAGTTATATCTTTTTCCATTAAAAAAACATGAAGGTAAAACCAAAAGGTCACGGAACTTCTCAATGGTTAGCTAGCCAAGTAATATTTCGATAAGTACTTATTGATGATCGATACTTCAATTTTTATATTGTGATTAATTTAATATTTCATTTAAATATGCATAATTCTTATATTAGTATTGATGTTTAGGACTACTATGAAGCAAGCATATTTGTATTTTTGTGCAATCTATATGAGACTGGTCTTTTGAACGATTTAGCTCGGCTAACCACAAAGTTTTAAACCCCTTTCTAATCCGACATGATTGGATCCAACAATCATTAGACGAGATTAAGTTTAATATGTTGGTTCATTTTACCCTTTTTATGTGTTAAGATTATGTTAGATAAAGATATGTCTACATATACACTCTATACAATATATAATATTGGAATGTGAAAATTATTGCCTCATTTCAAATTTTCTACAGAGAGAGTGAAATTATTTTAGATATTTTTGTCTTCACAATTATTTATCTTTATTATTTATAGGAAAATAGAAAATTTTGGGATTTGAACCAATGTATCTTCAAACAAAGACAAGACTCATAACCATGATTGTCAACCCGAGTTTGACTCAGCCGGTCGAACCAATTATTAACAAAATCGACTCGAGTATCACACTGAGCGCGAAAGATCCAATCAGTTATC